TATATTTCAAGCCAATTGACATTCTCCAGACTTCAACTGTGGTGTATTTAAGTGTCAAGTCATTGGCATCTTAGCAAGAGGGATGTAGATTTTTCTAATTAAGAGTTCCTGATGACCCTATTTATATGGAATCTTGACTAATAGGCTTTTAGAGCTGTTTCAGAATTCTCAGAGGTTTGATGTACTAGAAATAATGGAACATCTCAAACCATTGCAACATAATCCGTTTTTCTGGAGTCTCCAAACAGGTTCACAGAAGACCAAACAAAACAGGGGAGTGTAGGCTATATTATTTTAATGATCTCGTTATCTCATTCCTTTTCTCATTGTCACTTTTTCTTTTTTTCTGTCTCCTTATATTGACATATCTCACCATGAGTTTGTGGGGACTGTGTGTGTGTGTGTTGAAAGTCGTGGTGATCATCCTTCCATCTTGTAGTTTTAACATGAGTGATCGCTAGGACATACAACTAGAAAGATATAGAATGAAGTCAGAGGAATGGGACAATTGTAAAAGAAAGTCAGCATTATGTCTTTAATATCAGTTTCTCAATATTGACTATGCTGGTTAAGGTAACTGGCAGATGGAGTACAACAAGATCTGGAGATTATATAGCTTCCACCCTCCTGTAATGGTTTGAGTGCTGGATTAGAACTTTAGAGATACATGTAAATCTATCCACAAAACATACCGGGTGATCCTAGGTCATTTATTATTTTTCAGCGTGGTCTCTCTCACATTGATGATAGCGGAGAGGAGGATAACCCTGTTTTCATGGAGGAAAAGTAACGTAGAAATGTACTTAGAAAACCTACAAATAATAAACAATTTCTGTTTTGGAACTTTTTTTGAAATGAGAACTTGTGACATTTGGAGACTTGTGAAAATTTGATGGATACCTGCATCCGATTTGAATGTTAGTCTGGCCTGTGTAGGACAGCTCACGACACACCTGTGTGTGTCTGACTTTTGGGGGATGTCCCCATACAAGGGTTCCATAGTAAAGACTCTGTTCTTTGATTAACTTCATGTATTGTGCTGTGTATTTCCTTCATTATTTTATGTGCATTTGTGCCTGTGTTCCCACACAGATGTAGGTGCTCAGTTGAGGATGGTTGTGTGTGTTTAAGGATGTCTGTCTATAGGATATAATCTCTATCTATCTCTGCTGCCCAAAACTTCCCAGCCAGTATCACTATACTTATGCTGCCTTGGGGTTTCTAGGGGCTGTAATCGAAGAAGAAACAGTTCTGAGCACAAAAGTGATATTTGCCACTTGCTCTCTCCCTGTTTGACAGGAGACACATATGTACCTGTGCACTTGGTGAAGTTTAGGGAAACATCATTTGACTTCCTGGATTTGTTGGCATGGTCTGAGAGAGGACAACACACTTTGAATGGTCTCTGGTAATAAGCAGGCAGTAATTGTGTGATCCCTAGTTAACAATCTGGTTACAGTTCTTTGGACTAACTGAAGTAATCATTCTCTTGGGTCTGGACTTTATCTGTGGCTTGTTCCACAATAATCAAAGAAGCTTTTTGTTTCTGTAAAACTTGGGATGACAGAACAGGATGACTGTCTCTTACTTCCACAGTCAGAGGTTAAGACTGCACCCCTAAAATGACTGGAGGAGTTCTAATGCAATGTGATTTGGACAGAAAATGTAGTGTTTCTGCTTCTCCATTTCATTTTGCCCAGTTTTTTAAAACCACTTTTAATTTACAGTGCCAGGAAGAAAGAGACTCCCTAATGAAGGGAAAATCTATTTTTAATGGTCCCAGACAGAGTGAAAATCACTGCTAAAGGCAGCAGGATCATGGTACCTGCTTGCTGTAAGGCTTTGTAGTACAGAGAGAAAGTGAAATAAGCCAATAAATAAAAGTCCCAGTGCAGATCTTATGTCACTGCTGGAGACAGGCAATGGGAGACATTACACAATAGAGTGATTCCTTTAAAGCCAAAGCAGGGAACCTTTTTTGTAATTTTAGCAGGCAATAGGAAAGAGGTGGCCTGCCTTACTGGTAGATAGACTCACTAACAAATGCCACAGCTCCAAGTTTGCAAAACCTGAGTAGGGTTGTTGCTGACAGTGTGTCATGGAGGTCTCTCATTCATAGGGTTATTATAAGTCAATACTGTCAATGAATTGTGTACTGTACTGGCAATGGGCAGATCAAAAGTGGCCAAAAATTATGTTTTTCAACCTCAGGACTAGGGATTTAAGTATTCAACTATCTCTTCTTCACATGAGAGGATTAATAGTTTTTACATTTTCTCTTCACTGGAGATAATGAAATTTTCTGCAGTTTTCACATTCTTTCTGACAGCAAAAGAGTATCGGCAAAGTGAAGTGGTCTGCTGGTGTCCTGCCATTATGCCTTAAGCCCTAAAAGACAAAGCAGATATCTAGAAACAGCCCTAGCCTAACAGAGGCATGGAATAATGAGTTTGCTTTGGTAATATCTGCAACATTTCATTCTTATTCAGAAACTGCTTTGAATTCTTTTGTGTAAAAAAGGGTATGAATAAAATAAATGTTTCTTGTTGGGGACTTCAAGTCATTTCTGACTTACGACATCCCTAAGGCAACCCTATTACAGTGTTTTCTTAGTAACGTTTGTTCACAATGAAGTTTTCTTTTTGCTTCCGTCTGTAGCTGAAAGAATGTGCCTAAGGTCACCCAGAAGGCTTCTATGGCTGAATGGGGGTTCAAACTGTGACTCCACAGTTGTAATTGAATGCTCAACGCACTACACCATGTTGGCTGTTAAAATAAGCACAGCTTATTCCAAAAAAGAACAGAATACCATCAGTTTACAACTACTGAAGAATTTTAAGAATTACATTTTGCATATTTTGTGGAGCATAGGCTACAATATTCATTACTTTCTGGTTCAATGGGGAAGGGAGAGAGATGTACAAAAAGGAAAAGACAATAATGGAGATGCATAATGCATGGCAGATGACAATTTATTCTCCCAAATGCAAGATAGGGAACAATTTGCATTATCCAGCAAAACTAGCCATGTTTTTAGACTTGGACATGATGTGTTATGTTCTCAGGAAGCATATCTTGAAACATGTTGGAAACTTTGTGTTAAACATTATAACTTTGTGTTATAAGAGATACATTTGAAGCATGTAGGACAGGCAACCACCCCCCCCCCCCCCCGAAATTCTGATGGTGGTTCGCGAAAAGGCCTTACTGGTGCATTATTTAAACTGTTATGTTTATTCATATCATGATCTGATCACCATACTCAATATATCCCATTGGGGTAATGATACAAAAGGTTTGCTAGGGTAGACCCTCTTTCACTCAGACTCAGCCCCCCCCCGCCCCCGAATCAAAACCCCCCCAGAAATTCCCCCCCCCCCCCCCCCGAAACGAAATCCTGGCTACGGGCCTGACGTAGGATATCTGTTTTATCAAAATGAAATATGTATATAAGAATGCTTTTGGGTTGTATTAAAGAGAAGATTTAGGAAACTTGATACATAGATACATGTATTGGATAAGTTATGTAAAAATCAAAAAGCGGTAGTATATGAATAGAGATTATTGAATTTTGTAAATAAAAATGATTGCCATCTGTTTTGGATCTGTATATGTAATCAAATATTTTTGGAAGAAGTTGGAAAAGAGTTATTGGCTTACAAAACTGGGGAGGGTGTTTCACTACAAAGAGAAAACAATTTAATATTCTTGCTTCAGAGCGTTAGAATAATCCCTTGATTAATTATGCGACGTGTTTAAGATTAATAAGACTAATAGTGTTATTTGATAAAATTACTAACCCTTTATTGACATTTCACAGAAAACAAGTATCTGTTTTGGTAATATTTTGTTTGTTTAGGTAGATTTTATAGGAAGGAAGATAACTTGTGTTAGATGAGAGAAATATAAATTAATAATAACTTTAGATAATTGCTGAAAAGAGGATGGGAAGACAATTGTATCTTTTTTAAAAATTTCCATCACTTTTGCTTGTTTTTGTTTTTCTCTTTCACTTTCTATTTGTTTCTTACTAGATGATAGCATCATTCTATTTTATGTATTATCAAAATCATAGATGTGTAGGAAAGCGGGGGGGGGGGGGGGGGGGGGGATGTGCTGGAAAGCATAGTGTGTTGTATCATCTTTCTTTCCACCAAAGCAGAGAACACATCCATCAAACTAAATCCAAAAGATAGTTATAGAGAAGGGGGTTGTCATCCTAGTATTATCTGAAAAAATAGAGCTGAAATTCTCATAATCTGACAAGCACAGACTTTAAACAGTGTGTACCATTTCACTGACTTGTATCTTTTATCTTTTAATGGATTTGCTTCAACTGGTTTTATTTTTTAAAGAAAGTCTGAGTGTATTTTAATTAGCTTTTTTTATATTTTTAAAACTTTTGTCTTTGAATTTGGTCTTATCTATATTTGTTTAATTTTTTAAGCTAGCTTGAGTACCAGTTTTGGGGGGAAAAGATGGATGGAGGAGGAGGAAGAATTTGGCTCCAAACATGAAAGTTGAATGAATAGGATGGGGAAAGAACTTGGAGAAGTTGTTTTGAGATAACAGCTTCCAGCATCTCTCTCTGACCCTCATCCCACCCATTTAGCCCTCAAATGTGCAGCTGTTATTTGGCAATGACTAACTTGTGCAGTTTTGGAAAAAGGATTACTCAGCTATCTGGCAATAGATCCATGAAGCCCTTTTGTCCATTTTCCCTTTTAACTGTGATAAGAAAACAAAATATAAATGCTGAGAGTTAATACATCTCTGTACACTATTTGCCTGGGAATAAACCAAGAGAGAGCTGTTGCATTCATGTTCATAACAAGGTCATCCTACAGTCATCTGCTGGAAGCATTAGAAAAAATATAGACATAAGATTTCATCCAGTGCAACATTTCTTACACTTAATGATACATTAAGTTATTGGAAAAACCCTTTCAACCCTCCTATTCTGCATTATGTTAACCAAAATCAATTTTGTCCCTATACAGGTTAGTTATGATGGGGAACTTCACAAGCACCCACAACTGGAAGCTGATTTGGCAGCCGTAAGAGAGCTCTATGGGCCGAGTGCAGTATCTCTCAGGTATATCTGAGATGCAATGCGGTATTGTGTATTATCATGCTTAATATGCTTAATATGGTTTTAAATTGTATCATATATTTACTGTTTTAATAAATGTATGTTATGTTTATCAGTTTGTATAATTGAGGTATTGAATGTCTGCCTAAATATATTATGTACACCGCTCTGAGTCCCTTGCAGGGTGAGAAGAGCAGGATATAAATGAATTAAATAAATATCTCTATTATTGTCCATCCATATATGGAAATGAATTAAGAATGGTTTGATTAGCAGACCAAACTTGCCTTTTCCTTCTTGTTTGAAAAATTAGCAAAAAATGTTTTGTATATAAACTTCTAAAGCTCATACAAAGGGCAGTCAGTGTACATTTGGCTCACTTCAACTAGCCAGACCCTTTAGTAAAGCCAAATCAACACTTCTTAAATCAATTTTGCTGAGTGACAAATGAATCAGATTTGTGAGGATGCATTCCAGTTCTTTAGACAGTATGACTGCAGGAAAATCTTTTTTTCATTACAGGCTGTTTGAATTAAGTGGAAATTCATTAAGTATAGAGGACTTTTGAAATTAAAGGGCAGGCAGGAAATAAAGAAGATAATCATTTAATTGCAAGGCCTGATAACAGTTGGGGAAACTGCACATACCTTCATAATAAGCCCCATTGGGATCTGTCAGCTATGAAAGTAAATGTAACTTCTTATAAATGTGTCAGTGTGTTTAATTTCTTCAGTACCTCCTTCATGATAGTTAGTGTGATCTTCTGGGGCTCAGTTCATTATAAAACTAGCTCTTTCTGACTTGTCAGATTATATTCCCCAATATCTTTTCCTGTTGAGAGTGCATTTAACTTCTTTGATGGTCAAAAATGCTCCCTTGAATATTAATTTTCCATTCTTTGTTTTACTTGTTATTCTTCTGTCTTCTTCAAACCTGTTGGTCACAAAGATACAGCTGCAAATTGCATCACAGTTACCTTTGCTGCAGGCCTCATTCCCCCATTCCCACTTCCATTCATCCCAACTAGTGGTGAAATTCAGAAGTTTCTAACCTGCCACGATATATTTTGAGAAGTAACATCCTCTGGTTCTATGCCTTTTCATCTAATGTAATGGTTCTCAACCTACAGGTCCCCAGATGTTTTGGCCTTCAACTCCCCAAAATTCTAACATCTGTTAAACTGGCTGGGACTTCTGGGAGTTGTAGGCCAAAACACCTGAGGACCCACAGGTTGAGAACCACTGATCTAATGTTTCATCATGTTTCTGTCCATGAGATGGATAGGTATATTTATATCAGGATCTGTACTTTTTTATCTGGTCTCGCCTTCATAACAAGGAATAATTGGCAGAACAGATATTCTAGAAGGCTTTAAAGATATTCTAGTCTGGAAGATAGAATATAATTTCATCAAAATTGGGGAACTCCAAACTTGTCTCCACACAGATATGGCTAAATCCAATGCCACCTTGTCACTAGACTGTATAATGACACTATCCTTGCACTTCACCCTGTATAGTTTTTGCCAGAGGTAGGAAACCCCAAAAGCGATTCTCCCAGCATTGCCTCTCATGCCTAGGATGCCTGCTGTTATGTAACATGGGGGTGGTTGTAGCAACTTATTATCGGAGTTAGGATCTAATGAATTACAAGTGACATAATTGCCCATAGATCATTATAGATGAGATATAATTTATTTATTTATTTATTTACTTTACTTTACTTGTATACCGCAGTTTCTCAGCCCAACAGGCGACTCAACGCGGTTTACAACAAGGGTAAAAAATCAATCAAACAATATACAATTTAAAACCATTAAAAGCATAGTATACACAATAATAATACATCAATAACAGCCCCATAACATCTCGTAACTAGAATCGTAATCCAATCCGTCGTCCATAATTCCGTTCCTGTATTCATCATATTCATTGCGCTGTTTATGAAGTGACATAAGAAGTAATCCAAGTCCAACTGAAGTTACTAGCTTGTAGTTACTTCCAAAGAGTAGAAACTTTATATTGCTTATACGTATATTGTCGCACTTATATATTTGTAGACTGACTGAAAGATGGAAGGAGAGAGTAACGGAAATGAAACTGAATACCTGCTGTTACTATTCTCCACCAGTTTATACTTAATGAGAACCTGAGTAAATGCTAAAGATTTTTGCAGTGTTTTTTTTAAAAAGAAAATAATCACAATATAAGCACTATTAAATGTAATTTGTAATTATTTTTGCTGAAAATTCACAGCCCACAGTTTTAATTGTTTCAGAATGTGCAGTGTAACCACGTTCCTTGGAAGTAATACAGCTTGGGAGGCTGGAGGATCTCCATATTGACATTAGACTGAACAATGTGTCCATTTCCACCATCAGGGTACTCATGATGGTCTGGCAATCGGATCCTTACTCTTGACACCACAATTCCTTTTCCATTCACTTCCCTTTCAACCCAGCAGAATTTTTCAGACTTCTGTTTTTTGTTTTTGTTTTTTTTAATTACATTCACAGTCCTCATTTGGTGAAATAGTAAAGATTAAAAGAAAGGTGGAGAACCTTTCTATTTTCTACTGATTGTCACATTTCTTGAACAATAAATGTATTGAGTGGACTATGCGTATGTTGAGTGGAACTGAAGCCAGAAATGGTTATTGGACATGATCACAATTTCTCTCTTTTTTTCTGACATCATTATATCTCTCCCCCTTCACTGATTTTGGACAGCTCCATGGTTTCTCTTCCCCTCCTCTTTCTGATACATTCATTTTCTCTTTCTTTCTCCCTGCCTTTCATCCCTTTCTATCTCTTTACATCCTTCAGAGAAACCCTGTCATTTTCCACCCAGTTGGATGCCATGTGAGGGACAAATGTTTCTTACCCAAGTTTGGAACTGGGACTTTCAGGAAGGGATTTTGAACTTAAGCTATGGCATTACTGCTGAAGGTTGCTAACTTATAGATTGAAGAGCTTGAGAACTTTTAATTTGAGGAAATGGAAACACCTAAGGTGCACAAGACAGAAGTTTCTCATTATGAATTAGATAGAGATATTGGACAGAGGCAGAGATTTTCCTCTTCTCATAAGTGATGCTAGAATTCAGGATCATTTAGTGAAATTAAATGACCATACGCCCTGGGCATACTAAACAAATGACACATGATTATTTTTATGGAGCTCATTGACACAGTATGTGGTTGGTTCTTTCTTGTCTAAAAACCTTTAATGAAGGCTTAGAAATGTATGGAGGATATGAGTGTGGGTAGACTGTGCTCATGTAGTTAGTTATAATTGCTGTATGGAACCATTAGATTTGTATTTTGCTGAGCTACTGAGAATTTTCTGATAGAAAACTCTGGTTCACATCTGTGAACTAGAGTACTATAGATCTTTAGTAAAGAATTCTGAGAAGCTTGTCAAATAATAAATTCCTGAATTCATTGGCAGTAGTCATGGCATTTAAAGTGATATGAAACCATTATAAATATCTAGACTTCCTGTCAAATACTACTATATATGATGCCTGCTGAACCTCCATACTCAGAGGCAATTTAGTATTGACTATTAGCTTCTAGAAAGAGACAAAATTGTTTCCATAACTTGGTTTCAAGCTTTTAAAAGTGTTTGGCAATAATTATGAAATATTAGATGTTGGGATAGATTGATACATGGTCCAATCTATTACACTGCTCATACATCTATGAAAGGTATCTGGTTGTCAAAAGAGGCAAACAATCATGAGCAAGGAAAGCTGTATGTTTACATTCAATTGCTAGCTCCAACTAGAGCAGACATATTGAATCAGTTCCCAAATAGCAAGTCAGCAATTATTTAAATGTACTTGACTGAATAGGTCTATTCTACTTGAAAGTAGCACTTGGTTTTAGGTCAGAGATGAATATTGCATTGAAAGTCAATGCAGCAGAAAGCCCCTCTGACCTAATTACATGAATATGGAAAGAGGATAGAGGCAAATAGCCTGGTGTTGACATGGGAAGTCCCTGGATCTACACAACCCTGAGAATCTGATCAGTTGTTGCAATAGTTATGAGAAGGAGTAGATCTCTGCATGAATACTGTTGTATCTCCAAGGAACAACTTGTAAAAAGAGATATTGGATCATTCTTTACACCACAAAGCAACCTCATAGGATCTTGTTCCGTTTCTCCACTGGATATTTTGTTTCTCAGCTCTCCTTTGCAAAGGAGAGGTGATAGCTAGTCTTCAAAGTTACTAAACATGACATGCAATTCCATAGTAATACAATTGTGTAGTGTGAATGAGCCCCTTTCGATTCTAAACTGCCTGTTTGAATTCTTGGCTCCTGGGGAGTCCACACAGCTGAGGCACTTTCAGAATGATGGTTTAGACAATCATTTGGGTCAAGGATTGGAAGAAACCAGTGGCTTGTAACTGGCATCTTCCTTCTTCCCTTCACACCTCAACTGCCTTCTTGCAATGTAGCTCTTGGAAATGCTATATTTATGTCTATAGTTAACTTACCTATATCAGTGCAACTTATATCATCCTGACCATAGTTGAATTTCTTCTTGTTTAAAATAGTTCAATTGGCTAATAGTATTGCATTTCTTTTAGAAGGTCAAGAGTATTAACAATAAATCCATTATGCTGTTCTGTTCTTTCAGGGAATATGGAGCCATTGATGATGTAGATATTGATCTGCATATTGATGTTAGCTTTCTTGATGTAAGTAATCTAATTGCATGGTAATATAAAGAACATTAATAAATGTCTTAATTTGTAGTTGGGCACCCACTGGCATTTTCCTTCTTTTTTGACCTTCAGAAGCTTCTGTGGAATATGTTTATGTTTGCTTTATTTGCAGAAACATCTGCAAGATGGTATCCAATTGTGAAATCAAATTGTTCCTCTCCTTTCACAGAAGGGGGTTTGATCCAACAGAGTCCTATGCTAATTGAAAGGGAAGGGAATATATTTTTCTAAAGCTTTTCCCCTGAAGCCTCCTTTGCTCACCCTAAACCCAAAAATATGTTCCACAGTTGGAAGCCTTCCAGAACATCATGGTAGAGAGCATAAGAGGCTTCTGAGAAAAGGGGAGAATAAAAGAAAACACCTTTCTTTTTCTTCTATTAAATACTTCTATAGACCATGTGTTCAGTAAGTTGTCAGTCTTTGTTATATCTGTCCAAGCTCTTTTGTATGAACTATAATATCTATCCAAGCTCTTTGTTATGAAGAGCTTTATCTAACATGAATGCCTATATATCTTCTCCTTTCCAAAGTATTCCCCTTGTTCTCATGCATATATGGAAGACTTTTTAATTTTACATATAGAAAAGCATATTTAATGGGCAGAGTCCATGGCAATTTATGGGAACAAAACAATAACTGCATTATAATTCATATCTTGCAAGTTTAAAATTGTAGACATAAGCTGTACTCTAATTAAACTAATCCCAGAGCTGACTATGAAATTGGAAGATAGTTGAATTAGTGGAGAGCTGATTAGTACAACCACTGAGATGAGCTGATGAGCAAACAGCTATGAGGCAAGAGCCAAAGAGCTACTTTACTTGCATTGGGGGACTTTGAATTTTACTTTAAATGGCACCCTCCTTTAATACCGTAATCTGTTTTTCAAAATTTCCTCGGTTATAAAAGCAGATGAACACTTACTACACATGTATCTACTTTTCAATAAATGTTCTTGATTAAATATTACAACAATTCTGGTTCTTTGGTAACTTATTTCAAACTTACACTGAGATATAATCCAGAAATAAGTGGCTGAATTTATTGGAATTAAGACAACATTCTGTACTCCAAGGATGATCCATGTGTGGTTCTCTGGACATCATTTAGCAAGAACTCACACCATCATAGATACTGATGGGGATCATGGGAGTCCAACAACATTCCCACCTCTAAAATTTAAAAAATGGTAAATTGTTGCAAGAACTTTTATATTTTAAACATTTTGAAAAGTTATTTGAAATACAATTTTTGTGGAAAATAAAATTTTACACAGAAAACTTATCTTGCACAAAATCATTTTCTCAGTAAAAATTCATTGTTGTTTTTGTTTTGTTTTTTGGTTCTTTTTGCACATGATCAAATGTTCTGTAATGTCAAAAAATAATGATAGATAAGATGGGGCTCTGTTATCCAGTGGGAATTTTGCAATTCTTTGTTCTTATATGTCAGAATAAGCAAATATTTTGTTTTCCTTGGGAGTAAGTACATTTTGAACCATGTACACTAGAGTAAATAGGACACGGTGCCATGAAAGATTGTTGGTTTTATCTAGCTCAACATTTTCCATGTTGAGCAGCAGAAACTCCCAGGTTTTTATATTTCTTTCCCATCCGTACTTGAAGATGTCATGGATTCAACCTGAGCATTCAAAGTAGTGTAGTAATACTATTATTGTTTTGTTGTTGTTGTTGTTGTTGTTGTTTATATCCCACCTTTCTTCCAATAATGAGACTCATTCTGCAACTCATCCACTGAGAAATAAAACATGGTGAATGGTAGTTTGGCTTCATTGCCCTTTGGAACCACTTCATCAATTTGCAGAGATGTGTATAGAATTGCTGCCATGGGAAAGTTTTATGCTCTTTCAATTATGAATCCAGAGTCAATTCAGTTCCAGCCTGTGCTTTATTGCTGACCTCTTTCTAGGTGCTAATATTAGGTAGAGGCTGCTACTACTTATGCCTTGCCAAATCAATTTAGACAGCAACTTAGGTGAGCACTTCCATTCCCTTTACCAGCCCTAAATGGGAGAGTGGTGGAATTTAAACCTGATGATCATTGCTAATGGCTTCTGTTGTGTTCTTGATTCAGGAAGAAATTGCAGTGGCATGGGATGTAATCCGCACAGAGCCTATAATTGTGAGGTTGCACTGTTCTCTCACACAATATTTAAATGGCCCCGGTAAGTCACATTTCTGTTTCTCCTGTATCATATCTTTCTAGTGAGAGCTGCACACATTGTCTACAATGAGGTCTTTACATAAAAATTGGATTGCAATAAATAATTACATTCTTGGGAAGAAAGTATTGGGTTCTAAAGAGATTCTCAATTTAGCAAAGAGAGGTTTTGTGTGTGTGTGTCAGGGGCAACTTGAGAAATTGCAAGTCACTTCTGGTGTGAGCAAATTGGCCATCTGCAAGGATGTTACCCAGGGGATGCTGGATGTTTTGATGTTTTACCATTCTTGCAGGAGGCTTCTCAAATGTCCCTGCACTGGGAGCTGGAGCTGACAGAGGGAGCTCATCTGCACTCTCCCCAGATTCGAAGCCCTGACCTGCTGGTCTTCAATCCTGCCAGCACAAGGGTTTAAGCCATTGCACCACCGGGGGTTCCTAGAGAGAGGGGTGTAACAGTAATCAATATGTAAATGTTAATATTGATAACATTCAGTTATTGAATCTGCATGGGCAACTAACAGTTCAAATCCATTACTGGCAAAATGAAATCATGGATTGTCCTTTTTTTTTTTTTTTGTAGTCTTCATTATCACTCTACATGGCAGGGGATTGCAACTTTTGATTCTCCAGTATATCTTCTATCTGGTTTATCCTGTAAAGACTACTTCTAGCTTCCAAAGGAATATGAAGCACATTTTAGGGCAGCTTTCAATTCATATGGGGCACAAATGAGGCATGCCTGTGGCTGTACTGCTTGGTAAAATTGGGAATACTAGACATCTGGTCTTTTTTTTTTTTGGAAAATTTTAGTTGTGACTGTTTTCTCACTAGAAAAAGCTCTGATTCTAAAGAATTCAGATAGTACTGGGTACATGACTTGAAAATCAAATCCAGTCCCCATTTTGCAATGTTACAATTATAGAGGTATAAGGGTCCTCCCAGACCAATAAGTCAAACCTCCCACTCAATTCAGAGTTTCCAGTGAAAGCATCCCCAACAAATAGCTGCTTGTCCTCTTTTTGAAGATCTCCAAAGGAGACTCTATCACAATTCTAAGAAATTGTTTCCACTGCCATTCCACTCTTATGACACCAACTTGCTTTATATTTTAAACTTCTTCGTTAACTTATAAGGGAAGGAAAATTCCTTTCATGTTGTAGCATCATGGAATATGAAAGGAAAGAAGAAGTTGACATGAACCTGATGTGTTCTGCTGCAAAAATATGCTCTTGATAACAAAATAGTTCTGGGGAAAGGGCATACTATAACTACTAATTAATTATAGCAGTGAGTGAAAAAATAATACACTGGTCTGTCTAAAATCTCATTTGTAATGCTTATTGGAGTAAGAATACAAGTAATATTTGCAGAGTTTCTCGTTGTTAATAAGAAATAATATTTTCATTATAGAAAACCCCCACATAGGATAAATAAGGAGTACCTAGTAGATAACATAGACACAAAAAACAGAGGCCCTACCTGTGATAATTTCTTCAATATTTTCTTCTCCTATGAATATTTATCCACAAAGCAGTTCCCTATCTCTCAAATAAAATATTAATAGTAAAAAAATTCTGGGGCGGCACAAATATGCATAAAATTGCAGACATAAATTAATGCAAGAAAAAAGAAGAACCAAAAGAGGAAAGATATGGTCTAAATCAGGCATGGGCAAACTAAATCCCAGAGGCTGGATGCAGCCCCCTGGGTGCTTACCTCAGGCCTTCCTCATTTTCCTTGTCCTCTCGGCATTATTTATTTATTTATTTACTTCATTTATATACCGCTTTTCTCAGTCCTTGGGTGACTCAAAGTATGTGGTGGCCTGCTACATCCTTATGCAGACAGTATAGAAGAGGAAGGCACACAGCAGCTGCGAGCCCTCTGGAGTACTCTCAGCCACCACATGTCTCACTCTCCTCCCAGCATAATGCCGAGGGGACAGCCCGAAGATCAGGGGGGAGGATCAGGGCAGTCACCACATGTCTCGTTTTCCTCCTGGCATAAGAATGGATCAACCAGCCCCATCCTTGTGCCAGAAGGACAAGCTGTGGATGACCCAGGCCCTGCCCCACCCTCTCCTAGCCTCACTCCCCCTTCCAGGCCCATCCCACCCAGTGCGTGCCCTGCTGCCCTCACAGCCCAACCCTCCTGGCCCACAATGTGGCCTGAAGACAAAAAAGTTTGCTCATGGCTGGTGTAAACCCAGCCACTAGTATAAGAATATACTTACTAATTGCATCAACAGTGCTTTCATAAGTGGTCATATTACTCAGGAAATAGTTTAATGGGTCTACTTTGCCTGGACTTAGTATTTGGATTTGAATCCTGGTGAAATTTAATAAGAATTCTTAGCCTAATTGAACTATATTATATTATGATTTCTTTCTGACAGAAATTTGCTGTACAACCAGTCATGACTTTAGATAGTCTTATCCCAGTTCATTTCTTCTTGAAATTAACTTTATTGAGGGGAGGGAAGTTTGTAAATTGTGGTTAAAATAAGGAAATAAGTTGCACTGATCTAAAATAATTGTCACTATAATAATCTTAAGAACATGAAAGAACATATTATTTTGCATCAAACAATAGTTGAGTATTTCAAATCTCTGAAGTTGTCATTTCTACTGTCTTCCAAAAAATAACTTTAACATATAACTTGCATATACAAATTATGTTGTGGGTTTTTATTTGCTTGGGATTTTGGTTTTGTTTGTTTTTGTTTCTGCTGCTTTCCGTATGGGCAAAAAGCATTGTTTAAAATTACTATAACATAACAAATTGATTGCACAGATAATGTGAATCTGAAATACATGTTCATATAGTAGTGTCTTTAAAATAAAGATAAATGTTTATTTTTAACATAAGTTCATGTAACACTTTAATCTTCTAACGGTTCCATTGGTCAAAATTTCATTTATGCTGCCATATCAAACTTCTGATCATCTGTTAATAATTTGCAGCTCATTCTTTAAACAAATGTTTTCTTAACTGCAAACTGCCAATGACTAAACAGCTACTGCTTTTTTCAAATCAGAACATCTGTGATTTTCCATTTATCTTCTCTGTTTCTCTGCCCTCTCACTTTTCCCTTTTCCTGAAATTCTACTGTCTAACGTCTGTTATATTTTCTGTTCCTTAAGGCTTAACATTCTTTCAGTTTTGCCTTTATCCTAATAAATATGGAACAAGGCATGTTTCATCAGATTTTAACATTACTTATCTTCTTCAGATGTCCTGTTTTCTAAATTACACTCTTGTGTTTTGGATATTCTGATCTCTTTCTATCCTCTCAGATATTTTCATTCTCACATTTCATCAACAGTTACATTAGGTCCTTGGCTAATCTCCTTGTGAATAGGAGCATTTCTCTCTGTGATCATGTAAGATTTGAATAACATTTGTATTATAAGAAATAACTGGTATTATAAGAAAAAAAACAGGCATACAAAAATGTGCTGCTGGCATGGGCATAATTCCAAAATTAGAATTGTTGATCTGGTGGGATTTACATTGGATGCCAGATTGATGCCACTTCAGTGGTCAGCATACAACTGCCCTTAGGGTGCATCTACATTGAAGATTGAATGCAGCTTGATAGATTATCCACAATGACTCAATGTTATGGAATCAAGGGGGTTTAGTTTTACAAGGTCTTTAGCTTTCTCTGCCAAAGAGTGCTGGTGCCTCACTAAGCTGCAAATCCCAGGATTCCATCTCATTGAGCCATTACAATTAAATGTACAGTGTAGATGCACCCTAAGGGATGTGTCACTGCGGACAATTCAGTTGTCTCAAAGAATGAACACAGTTGCACGAGCTTTAACCAGAGTATCCAGTTTTAGGGCTGAATCCAGGAGAATCCAAGCTGAGGACCTGAGCCTTTAGGGTGTGCAACCTCCGTATCTCAGTTTCTTGATCTACCTTTTGACTCCGCAGGAGCACCTTTGTCTTGCCTGGACTTAGCTCCAATTTGTTGTATGCTGAAGAATATAAATGCACACACATCCACATATCATCTCATGTTGTATTTAATTTTCCTTCCTTCATTCTCTATACTGTTTAAATTTATTTATTATCAGAGCCTGGTCAATGTTATCTATTGTTGGGATTTAAGACCTAGAAAAAACAGCCTTATATGGAAGCATAGTAGAAATGTAACCAGTGAAGAGCTTGTTAGATTTACTGTGGGGATTTGAGTACCACAGGGTTTTTTTTCCATGTCAGGAGTGACTTGGAAACTCCAAATCTCTTCTGGTGTGAGAGAATGGGCAGTCTACAAGGGGAAACCCAGATGTTTTGATGTTTTACCATTCTTGTGGGAGGCTTCTCTCATGTCCTCGCATGGGGAGCTGGAGCTGATAGAGGGAGCTCATCCATGCTCTCCCCGGATTCGAACTTCTGACCTGTTGATCTTCAGTCCAGCTGACAAAAAGATTTAACCCATTGCACACCAGGGGCTCCTAGTACTACAGTTGGTCCTTAGCATTGTGATTAGTGAAATCATATCTCCCACCTTCTCTCCTCTCCTCTCCTCTTATCTTCTCTCCTCCTCCTCCTCCTCCTCCCTCTCCCCCCCCCTCTCTCTCTCTCACACACACACATACACACACACACATACATATACCAGAGTTTCACTTCTTTATACAATAGTAGACAGAATACACAGAGACTGGTTATACTAGTCCTTTCATTAAGAGAAATTATTGCATACACCAAAGATAGCATAAATCTAAGTAACCATGAGGCTGGTTACCATAGAAATTCAATCCCTATGCGAATTGAGTGCAAGTTAGCTCATTTTAACCAATCAAACTCCAGAGTAAACCAAGAGAAGATTATTCCTAACTGTCACTTGTACCAGGTTTCATGAACTTTACCCGGCAGCATTTCTTCTATCAAAATGGACCCTTGGAAAACATGCTATCTACTTATATTCACATTCTCCATTGTGCAACCCAAGGGCATTTCTTTGCTCAATTGTTTATCATAAAGTCAAGCATTTTCCCAGTATGTTATTGACATTAGATATAATGGGAGTCAACCCTGGCTCCCCTGCTGCAATAATATGCAGTGATGGCTTTTAAAAGATGTAGACTGACTTGTTTGTTTCAATAATATCTTCTGTTCTACAGTGCCCACCGTTGATGTATTTCAGATCTCTACTAAGGAAAGATTTGGACTGGGGCATCAGCTGAAGAAGTGAGTTATACCAAAATGGCATACTCTATTGTGTATGTGTTTACTATTGTAAAACAGAGATGGGCAAAGTGTAGTTCATGGGCTGGAGGCAGCACCTTTCCAATCCCAATGTGTGTACAGGAACCCCCTGAGTTACAAACATCTGACTTACATACGAGTCCTAGTTACAAAAAGGGAAGAGAAAACAGGAAGTGAGAGGAAATCAACCCCTGGGAAGGGAAATTAGCTCCTGTAAGAGTTAGCATGGGGAAAAAAGGTGTCACCACTGAAGCTTTACCACTAATCCCTGTTTCCATGACAACCTAAAATTTTCAGAATCCTGTTCTCACAGAGACAGTGAGTGAAGTGAAATCTTCTGAATTGGGACACAGACAGCAAAACAAATATTACAGAGGTGTTAACCCTTTCCTTTGCTATTCATTTAAAAAAAATGACTGGAGTGACATCTAAAAAATGTAACTGTTCTGACTTACATACACATTCAAAGTAAAAATAAACGTAGGGAATCTATGATGTCCGTAACCGAGGGACTGCTTGTAGTCTCATATCATCCACATTACTGTTGTTGCTTTGCTCGTTGCTTTGCTCATTTATTATCTTAAGCCTGTCAGATGGCTCCTCACCCTTAGAATATGCTTCTCAGAGATACTCACTCGTGGCCTTCATTTCTGTCATTTGGACAAAGCAAAAACAATTCCTGTTTTCCTGGGCTTTAAATTAGACTGGAAAGTAGTGCAGTTGTGTGGGGTCTACCAAGGCCCTTTTACAGTTCTTCTTGAGGCTTAAGCTCTTCTTAATACACACAAAAATTGGACAACTGTTCTTTCAGAAACCTTGAAGTAGCGCAGTTCTTCTATTTACTATATTGGAAGAGGGCAACTTTTGAGGGCCCTAAGTATCAGTCTTTGACAAATAGAGGCCCAACAATTCTAGTTTTCTGAAAAGGGACCTGTTGAGTTTGGGGTGGTATGGTGGAAAATGCAGTTGGTATGGCCCATGGTGTTGTTGAGCACTCCAGCTTAAATACAAGCATTTTTGTTTAGCTCAGGGCAGTTGTGACTGTGTTGTTTTTGACATGTTGTTCAAGTTAGTAGGCATTATTTTGTTTCCTTTGGATTGCACTTTTAATGGGCTTTTCTGCTACTTTGTTTACTCTTGATGTGTAAGCAAACAATTTGTTTTTATGTTTGTTTATACTTTTTTTTCCCCAAAAGGAGACTCAAAGTGGCTTACATGAAAAGTATTTCAATACAATTTAAACTCTACAAATATAGAAACATTAAAAAAGAATTAAACAACAACGGTATTTTTAAAATCACAGTTAATAATAATACCAACAACAACAACACTTTATTTATATTCCACCCTATCTCCTCAAGGGAACTCAGGGTGGATCACAGTACACAAACACAGCAAACATTCAATGCCATTTTGGATAGGTAATACAGAGACAGACAGAACAGAAAGGAGGTATGTTGTGTTGACATCTAGCTTTTTGACGTCTTGGAAGGTTGTGATCGAATCCAGCCACAAGGTTGTGCTGTCACTCCATCGTCTATAATGAAGAACCATCAGGACTTCCTCCTTCCTTTTGATCACTGGGCATTTTCTGATCTTTTTTATTTATGGTGTTGTAAAATACCTTCCCCGCTTGTTTTAGCGGTTCCTGAAACAAGTTGCTTAGTTGGCAGCTAATGCAACCCAGGGCTTTGAACTGGCAAACTTTCGGTTGGTAGATCTTACTATTGCTGGTGATTTACCAGCTGTGGTAAAGCCCAGCCCATAAAACCCATAAAAGCATATTCAAAGCTAAAGATGACTGCTTCCCTGACTTGATCTTAAAAACCATAAAAACTTTCTTCTTTAAAGGCGTGCCTGAACAAAAAGGTTTTAGTCCTTTTAAATAAAAAAAGACCTTAATCACCTTTACCAGAATAATAGAACTGAAGTTGGTGATAGTTGCAAAAGGATATGTGATAGAGTAATTGCAAAGTTCTGTGATGGTGGTAGAAACAACAATGAAATCATATGTCAGAAGGGAATGCTACTTTCCCAGCTCTTGAGCTCTTTTGTATTCAGCTTTTTCCCATGTCAGAAATAGTGTTCTCTGCCATCCCCCTAGATTGGTACACATTTCTCCAAAAAGTGCCTTAGGACAGTGTAATAGATTGAACCCTATCCATTGGAATCCTGAGAGGTCCATGTTGGTGACATATGCTAGTGTAATGGACCATTACAGTCTTCACAGATGGAGTGGCTCATGAGGATATCAAAATTCTGAAAATCCGAAAAGTGTTCAGGATGGAAGAGTCTTACATTTTCTTTAACATGCTGACAGACTAATGGCAGAAGGAGAGGGATTGCATCCATTTCACATACCATGGTCATTTATGTATGCATGAGAGAATTAGTGTGAACCCTCCTGTTGTAAACCATTCCCTCAGTATAGAAATTGTCGTATCTCTAAAAAGAATGGTAGGTGACATGCAGATAACATATAATTATTTTGCATTTATGTTTGTATCACCCCTCCCCTCAGAATTGAGTTGACCTACAAGATGTCTTTTCTCCGTTTGCCAACATGCTAAGAATTATTTGGACAGAATATTAAAATGAGTTTCACTTTCTTGAAGGCTATGACTGAGTCCAGATGTAACCCAGAATACTCAGTACTAGGCAAGCATAAACAAGAAATATTTTTGAAGGAATGGTCAAAATGAGCTGAACCTTTAAAAAAAATGATATATGGTATCAAAAATTGGTCTCTGGGTGTTTTATCCTCTCTACAGACTGGGATTTTGAAAACAAGGCTCACTATGTCTCTGTTGTTATTTTAATCTGCAGAATCATGCAAACATTTGTTACACAGCAATGGAAAAATGGCAAAGAAAAATTAAACAGTACGCACAACAAAAAACTGTCAGAGAAGAAAGTGAAATCTCCCCTGCACATCTTTTCTACTCTGCGCAGGTAGGAAGTGGCACAAAAAGGAGTGCAGTTGTATTTGACCAATGTATTATTGATTATTGCAGTGAAAGATTGACGTGGAGAGTGGTCACCAATATATATTTCAGTGTTTTACTGGAATTATTTTACAGACACAAGATATCTTATGGAACAATATGTTACGTCAGTTGTGTGAGACTTCTTCAGATCACCATCTTGCCATCTCTTTCAAAAAATTTGCACGGATTTTGCATTGCAAAGTTCTACTCACAAAAAATACAGGTGGTAGAGACTTTGAAGCATGAAAATATGTACACCATTTTCAAGCTGTGACTGATTAGATGTCATCATTGATCAATTATATTGATCTGCTTGGTCAATCTTATGAGAAAATGTATAGAGCTATGAAAGGTATTCTTTTAACTCTTGAAAAAGACTCTGGGCAGCTACCTGCTGGGGATGTTGTAGCTGGAGATCTTGCCTTGACCAGGCGCTTGGACTCAATGGCCAGAACATCCTTTCCAACTCTATGGTTCTTTGATTCTATTCTAGGACTCTACCATGTCTACCACGGACGAACAGATTATATGCAGTATTTGTGAAGTTGCTTCCTCACTGCTTTTAAGTGATCTCGATACTCTGTTAACATATTTTTAAAAGGAAAAAAGTCTGCATTATTTAATTGACAAATTAGATAGAATAAATATCAGGTTAATTGATTAATTCATTTGATGGTCATGTTCAGGTAATGATTTAAATACAATGTCACTGAGTAAAAATTAATCCCAGCTTAACCCAAGATTACAGTACTTTTCTCTTTAAAGATACTTTAAGAGTGTATCTTGTAACTGTCATCTAAATAATGGATGTTCTAAATGGGATTAATTTTAACTGAACCTTATTGTTTTTACCAACAAGAATAGGTTTTGTGATTTTTAGTGTATTACATGTCTTAACTATTACATAGTTTTATACTTATGAGTGCCATTTTTGCGTTATAATTAACTTGTTTATTTTGATTTATTTTTTATGTATTATGCTTTGTTTTTCTGATTTGCTGTTTAGATTTGACCTTTTCAGGATTGCAGTGTGATTTTTATTAACTATATGTTTCTTCCTAGTTGTAAGCTGCCCCGAGTCCTCTTGGAGAGAGGAGGCGGGATACAAATAAAGCATTATTATTATTATTATTATTATTATTATTATTATTATTACATATAAAAGATGTGAACTCCTAAAAGGCAATTTGTTCATTTTTCACCCTCTGTTCTGACATTGCAGTTCTTCTGCAAAAAAGGGTAGGCATAGTTTGACCCTTGAAGCCCCTCTCAAATCATCAGACTATTTTCTTTTTAAAAAATGGGTACATTTTTGCCCTCAAATAAAGTGGGCTTTTCCTGACACTCCAAAGCTCACCAAACCACCCCTAAAACTCAAAACAAATCTAACACATTGCCTGAAGATTTACCCAAATAATGGCCAGATATGTAACGAGGCCTGCTGAAATGCAGTGGTGGAAAAACACTCCAACCTTTTTTTAGAGCAATAGCACCTACGTGTACCATTGTTCAAATATTGCTTCTTGATTTAGAGCTTCTTTCCTCTATAAGTAGATTCATGTAATATTATCAATTAATTAATGGTATTCAATTAATAGTGTCTTCTGATCATCAGTCATTAAACAAGAGGATTTGGTATTCTCACTGGGTCATACAAGCTTTAGAATAAAGCTATAAGGTTTATTGAAAGCATTGTAAATCATCCATATGACAAATTAATTAGCAAGGTCTGCAGGAGAAAAATGTAACTGAGGCAGTTTCTTTCCCTCTAAATGTTATCTTTTTAATAGCCATGTTGGCTGACGGCATGTGCATTATATGAACCTACATCTGAAAGCAGGTTCTTCAGTTATCTATTTTGAGGTGATAGAAGGTGAACTGTTGTGTTTCTATCTATTCATGGTCATTGACTATGCTTACATGAGTGGTCCTCAGATTTTGAGGAACCAGCTAGCCTGCTTTTCTTGCAATCGAATGCATTTAGTTTGCCTGAGAGAAAACTCAGGAGGGCTTCTGTTTATTAAATGGGTGTGTAGGTGTTGGCATTTCATCAACTGTTGCTTGTTACCTGCTTTCAAGACAACCACTGCCAAAATTCTTTTGTCTACACAAACAATTGAAGGAGCCATCTCTTATTTTACTCTGGCATCCCTAGAAAGTATGCACGCATGCATACTCACACACATTTTCATGTGAAGCATCTTTCACTGTATGGTCAAAATGGTCAAAGTATGACCATCAGGTGCTCCAGTATGGTTCCATCATCTCACATTTCTGACACCTCTGCATCCTTTGTTTAAATTTTAAAATCTTCTCATTTCTTTCAGGGGGGTGAAAGGAGTTTCAGCATGTTTAATGAGATATTTCCACCATATATCAACCTTCTGCTGATTTGTAATAATATGTATGATTTTTTTTCCTAGAAGAGGCAGTACTGATTATTTTTTCTCTGTCTTGTTTTTAAGGTCGCCAAGTTATCCTCCACCAGGCTGTGGGAAAAACAAATCAAAACTGAAACCGGAGCAAGACGGCATTTCCAAAACTCACAAGTTGCTGAGAAGGACTTGCTCGAGCACAGTTAAAGCTGAGGATGCGTGCATCACCAAATCTCACAGGACTTTTGGTCGCTCACTATCCAGCGACCCCAGGGCTGAACACACAATGACCATTAAGTCACATAAACTCTTGAACCATTCTTGCTCAGCTGCCATCAAGCAGGAGGAGTGTATCACTCTTAAGCCCCACAAACTGTTGAGTAGGCCATGCTCTGGGGATACTCGATGTGAGCACAACAGTACTTTGAAGCCCCACAAACTTTTAAGCAGGTCTTATTCCAGTAATCTTAGGATGGACGAATTAGATGGACTGAAGAACCACAAGTTGCTCAGCAAGACTTACTCCAGTGCCCCCAAGTCATCTAAAATGGAGCTATTCAAGGAACCCACGATAGCAGAGGGTCGTAGGCTCTCGCTTACCTCAGGGCTTATTGGTATCTTAACACCATCTTCATCCTCACCATCACAATCTGCTGTGCGTAAGCAGTTTTGCTTTGAAGGCTTATTTTGTTCTTCCTGTATTTTATTGAATTGGTTAAACATCTCATCCAAACAGGAATTGAATTTTTGTTATATGCCTAGAAATGTTCTTTTGTTAAGGCACTTCTTCATGCAGTGCCCATCACTCATTGTTAATCCCTCAGAAGTGAGAATTTTCTTTCAGCTCAAGGATCAAATTTAATTTCAGAGACATTTGGAGAGCGCACATTCCAGAATTTGGCAGGGACAAAGCCATAAGACTAGGCCCAAAATGCCAGCACATTTCAATTTCTAGCACTTAATTGTAAATCCCATCTGATCTTGATAAGCTAAGCAGATTCAGGTCTGCTTAGTATCTGGATGGGACAATAGCAATAAATACCAAGTGATGCAAGCTATATTTCAGAGAAAGGAACGGGGGAAAAATGTTTTTGATGGTTTTTTTGCTTAAGAAAACACTCTGAAATTAATGGGGTCTTCTTGGGGCAAGCATTCCAGACTTTTAAAATGAGAAAAACGTTTAAAAGTTGTATTTAACCAAGGTATTCTGAATTATTTTAGAAGAGTTAAAATGTGTGGAATAGCTTCAGTATTAGTTTTGTGTTTTGTTGAAATAATTTACAGAAACAGGATATGTTATGGAGCAGTTGTGTCAGAATCAGTTTTGTAAGGCCTTTTGAGCTACCCATTCTTTAGGTATCATTAAGTCTCTTTTTTAAAATGTCTGCACAAATTTTGTCTTGAAAAGATTCACTAGCAAAACAATGTAGGTGGTAGGTACTGTGAAGTGTGAAAATACGTACATCATTTTCAGTTGTGACTGACTAGATCCAATCATCGATCTGCTTGGTCAATCTTATGAGAAAATTCTTACAGCTGAAAATTCTTAACTCCTTAAAAAAAGGCTGTGAAACCAACAAATGACAGTGTTATGTGAACAAGGTGTTGTCTGGGACCAGATTGGAACCAAGAGGTTTGGATTAATCCCTGAGGCCTATAGTTCACAACCCATGCCTCAGATATTTCCACTAAAACAGTGGTTCTCAACCTGTGGGTCCCTAGGCGTTTTGGCCTGCAACTCCCAGAAATCCCAGCCAGTTTACCAGCTGTTAGGATTTTTGGGAGTTGAAGGCCAAAACTTCTGGGGACCCACAGGTTGAGAACCACTGCACTAAAATTAGTGAAATGTTCTGATTTTAAATCAGAGATTGGTTGTAGCCCCAGAAAACATTGCAGATTCCAGCAACCCCAGGGCTGAACACACAATGACCATTAAGTCACATAAACTCTTGAACCATTGGATATGTTCCCTTATTTTTAAAAATGCCTTCCACAATATTTGAGTTTATGATCTGAAGGTTTAGATGCACAGTTTTGTGACATAAAGAATGCAGTAGAGATCACCACTGTCTTACACCCAATCCCTGAAAGGAATGTTGAAGATTTCCATAAGAACTTTATCAGGTTTGCTATACCAATTGCTTAAATGAAATATTATACTCACAGATAATCTCCAGCATGGTGGGACTTTTCTTTTCTACCTTCACTCCTGCAGCCTTCCAAACCAATTGAAAACCTTTGCCAAATGATTTCATAGTTATTCGGTGCATGCTTTGAGGGATAGAGAGCTCCTCCCCCCTCCCCCCCGGTCAACAATTCTGCTGACAGCTTGAGTCTCCACAGTGTTGGGAAACTTCATAACAGTTTGACATTTTCCCAAAAAAGTCCTAAAACGTGAAGTCTTACAGTGATTGATGTATTGAGACAATCTTTCTTGTCAAGGCTGGGAATATTTTTTACATTCAAAGTGATCATGAATTCATGTTGATTCACATAGATTTGAAAACACTAAAGTTAATAATATTTCGGCAATCAAGAAGTAATGAATGAACTGACAGATATGAATGCATGATATTATGCTTTGAATGTGATTTTACTGCTTCTTGGCAGGCAGTTGGACTGGATGGCCCATGAGGTCTCTTCCAACTCTTTGATTCTATAAACATAAATGCAATAAATTTATATTCTCAAGGTACGTATACTAACTGCAGAACGTCATTTGAATAGATCAAATGTAAAACATCAAATGGTTAGAACTTATTTGACTGCATGTCTTTCAGTGACATAATATACTGGTGTAACCCTGACCTATGCTGGCATGGGTACTTTGAACAAAGTTGTGAAAGGAAGTAACCTGTACCTCACATATTGTCATTACTTCTAGTACAGAAAAAAAGAGCTGGAGCCTTACAGACATGGCTCTTTGTCCAGGTTCTAAGGGTGACATCTTTGGCATGTTTCAGCTGCCCTTGGGTGCCCAGTGGAGTGGGAATAATCTTATGATAGGGGAAGAATATGCCTGAGTGCAGCCCTGGGGACTATCAATGAATACAAGAAGAGAGCTGCATCTGGAAGTCCCTGGGTCATTTTGAATGCCAGAGGGGTAGTGAAGACAACATACATTATCTGCCCCTCCTGTTGATGATTTAGCCCCTTCCATTGAATTTTGAGTTTGGGGTCCATATTCAGTATTCATATTCAGTATCCATATTCAGTATTAAAAGTTGCTGGTTCCTTTTAGAATTTTGATGGTCTAAGTCCTTGACACTGCTTACGGCTCAAAGGAAGCTAGGCAAAATTCTCCAGTTTAAGGAGCAATAATCATGGCACAACTCAAGGAATGGTACCAATATTTGGCTTAGTAGCTGTGTGACTCTACTTCCAATATAATACCATGAGCATACCTGAAGTTGTCTGATTTTTGAATCTCAAGCTGGAGATGAGAAAGAGATCTGCAGAATTTCTCATGTCAGTAAATTTGGCAATATAGGGCTAAATGAGCAAATGGTCTGACTCAATAGGAGGCACTTTTTATATTCTCATCCCAATAGCATTTAAGACCTCATTAGCTAGCAGATACTTTCTAAACTCATCTCGTACATATGAATGTGTGCATAACTTGTGCAAACATTGCTGCATTGCTGGCATACTGCCATACTGGTTACTGATTTCCATTTCCAGCATGGTTGGTTGGTTGGTTTAATCTTTATATATCTCTGCTATAGGCAGTGGTGACAAAATCTTTCAATTTGTTTTCTTCCACATTTGGAAGTTATGGAATTTGGTAAAAGTTCTGATAAAAATTAATTGATTGCCCATTCATAGTTGTTAGATGGTTGGGACCATTCTCTTCTTTTAATACATCTGATATCAGTGTCAGAATGAAGAATGAAGTTAGAAACACAAAAACTATTTTACTGTAAATCAAGATGTGGGTTTGACTGTCCCACTGTGATGTCAATCTGGATGCAGAGAAGAGACAATATGTTTTTGGACTACAGTTCTCAGAATTAACGAGCAAACGAATTCTGGGAGTTGTAATAAAAAAAACTCCACCAAGCTCTAAAGCAGACTGTGCTTTCTCTAGAGTTTTCAGCAGAGCTGTTTACCAAGACTGCTTATTCATAATCAGCCTGTGTCTTCTGGAAATTGTTGAACTCTAACCCCCATCTGCCCCATCCAGTACAGTCAGTGGCCGACAATGACAGAATTTGTAGTTCAGCAACACCCAAAGGGCCACAGATTTTCCCAGCTTAACGGGAATAGAAAGGACTGAATCAGGTACTTTGTGCATTCTAAGCATGTACTTTCCCCTTGAGTTGTTTAATAGCAGATGTTGGTACAATTGCCTTGCTGATCCTCTATATCAATAAGAAAATTGGCACTGGAAGTCTAGCCCTGATCAGTATTGGTGTTAGGACTCACTTGGGATTTAAATATCTATGTACCTGGAAGTATGGTTTTTAAAATGAGAGGTTATTGCATTTATTCCTTAAAATGAATGTGTTTGTTTGGTTATCTTTCCAGAAACATAGCATTTAGGAAGAGATGTGCTACTTTCAAGGTCCAATTTCTAAGCTGTAATAGGTGGAAACCAATAAAATAGCAGATGGTTTTCAATTATGTGGCCTATGAGAACTAAATAGCATTTCAAATGCAAACAACTTGACAATTTCATGGCTTTTCCAATTTCTGATGGTAGTATCTCCAATGACCTCACATAACCTGATTCTATTTCTAATTTGTCTTTCTCTCTTTTTTTAAAAAAAAGCTGCCAACTTATGGTGCAAAATCTGTTCCAGTAAGAGACCACGGTTTTCTTGTGCAGGTAGGAGACACTGCTGCCTTTGTTTCAGAAACATGCAGGAGATTGAGCTGCTTGTTAATTATTTTAAGCAGATTGTGTTATTCTCTTTTTCATTTTCCTCAGACAATTGAGTTTGCTGAGCAGCGGATACCAGTGTTGAATGAATACTGTGTTGTTTGTGATGAACCACATGTGTTCCAGAATGGCCCTATGTTGAGGGTAAGTCAATGAACTTGGAATTAAACTATGTCCATTGTTGTATTGTATGTTTGTGTGCTCTTAAGTTTTCAGAAAAATGATATTATATTATATCATATCATATTTGGAACAGGCATGATCAAACTTTAGCCCTCCAGGTATTTTGAACTTCAACTCCCACAATTCCTAACACCCGGTAAGCTGAGATTTCTGGGAGTTGAAGTCCAAAATATTTGGAGGGCCAAAGTTTGTCCATACCTGAGTTAGAAGAATTAGTGAGGATTTCTAGTCCACTGCTTCTAAAACTATGAGTCCTGAACCAAAATGGGGTCCCCTTAACTTAATGCTGGGGTCCCCAAAATTACATTATAGTATATGAAAAGTGGGTCCATTACCCATACACACTTCTCAGGGCCTTTCTACACTGCCCAAAACCCAGGAGGAATTGGGTTATTTTAACCCAGTTTTCCCCAGGTTGCTGTCCCCATCCCCAACACAAACCCTGGGCTTTTCCCTGGGGAGTGGCTAGATTCTATCATGGTCCAACCAAAGGTTGATCTGAGATGACATCCAACACCCTGTTTTCCCCTCAAAAACATACCCATTTCCCTCCCCCCCCCCACTACCAGGGCTATCATTGAGTAAACTTTTGAGGGGGAATTGGGGGGCTGGGGGGGAGGTGTGGGTGCCATCCCTCTCCTTCAGGCCCTGGCAGCCCAAAGTACCAGGATGGCTGTGGGGATTGACCCCTGGGACTGCTTCAATCCCCACAGGGCTCTGACCTGGAAAGATCCGCACTGTACCTTAAGGTCCAGATCTTTCCAGGAGTAGCAACTGGGAAATCCCAGTTTTCTCTGGATTAATTTGGTTTTACCTGAGACATCATTTAAGTGCCTCGGGTAAAACCAAGACAACTCCCACATTTTGGACCTGTTTGGAGGGGTCCTCAGCTCCTTTTGAGCATGTATAGGGACAAAGAAGCTCCTGAGGAGAAAAGACACTTACCAGTGAAATTCAGCATCATGTTCTATCACTGCTAATGTTTGTCACAGTATTACATGTTCATACAGTATCAGATTTCAAATATGAGAAGTCTAGATCTCACTTCTTCTGGAAGAAGAAAGCCTGCCACCATAAGTCTGATGGCAGCTTAGGGTCCTTCCAGACAGGCCCTATATATCAGGATCTGACCCCAGGTTTTCTGTTTATCCAATATTATCTGGTAGTACAGACTGATATGATCCAGTTTAAAGCAGAAAACCTGGGATCAGATCCTGGGACATAGGCTTTGTGTGGAAGAGCCTTTAGTGGCAGCACATATAAAGTGCTCTTCACCTCTCTCTGTGTGTGTGTGGTAATTTACTTAAAGTGGCAATGAGGAGAGTAAGAACTTAAAATAGCACCAATAGATTCAGGTCCTTAACTCTTATTTTAATTGCTTAAGCTAACAGCAAATCACCAGTAAGTAAAATTGAAGCAGATATTGAAGAAGGGACTCTGTGAATTAGAGAGAGAAAACAATTAATTACTATGAATGTGGTGGAGGCTTGCAGAAGAGAAGCAATTCATCAAAGTAGCTTCCCAAGCATCATAGTGCTTCATGGCTAGCCAAGTCCGCTTCTCAATGACACAAACTATAAGAATCATAGAGTTCTGTCTGCTCGAGAACACTGCTTATTGTGTGGCCTCAAGTTCTTAGGTATGAAGAATTACATTAAAAGTCCTCAAGTTAAGTACAGTAGGACCCTGTATTCATTGGGGATACAATCCTGAACTTACTGTGGAAACACAAAAATGTGGATATTAGATAACCTTATTGAAATGAATGACTTCCACTGGATGTTACAGCAGAGTTACATTGAGGGATGTAGAAAATTCCTACAGAGGTAGAAGGCATACCATAGAATAGCTGAGGACATAGAAAATGCCTAGAGAGGATATGTTTTGGCAGATGCAGAGGAAACTGTGGGTACAGACCCCACAGGTAGCGGGGTTGTACTTTATAGTCAGCAGTGAACCATTAATTAAGTTATTATTAATCTATTTCACAATTACTTTAATGAATGAAAATGTTAGAAGTAAATAAATAATGAAAGAAAATAGATTTAACAAAATAAGCAATGATAATCATTATAGGCAGTCCCCAGATTATGAACAGGATAGATCTTGTAGGTTTGCTCTTAAGTTGAATTTCTATGTACGGTAAGTTAGAACAGGTACATTTTAATATATCTTTAGCCATTTTGTTTGTTTTAGTTAGCATAGGGTAAGCTTAACATGTTTATTTTGCTGACTGTGCCCCTGTTCAGAAGATTTCACCTCATTTTCTCTCCTTCTGACAATTGGATTTTGAAAATTTTGGATTCTCATAAAAACAAGAATTGGTGATAAAGCTTCAGTGGAGACATCTTTTCCCCATGATAACTCTTTCAGGTATTATTTTGCCTTCCTGGGGATAGGTTTTCTTTCACTAGCCCCTTGTCTCATCCCCTTTTGTAACTAGGACTCTGTAAATTGGGTGTTTGTAACTCGGGGACTGCCTATATTTTGAATTTTAAAAGGTTATATTCCCCCCTCCAAAGTGTGACCCTTGAGCTTTTGATTCCAGGAGCACATCTACATGGATAATTAACCTTAAAGGGGGGTACAATGAAATCTGTGGGGCTACATGGCACACAGAGCTGATTTGTATTAATGCAACCTTGAACTGTTTTAACATGGATTTCAACTATGTTAACAAAAGCTCTGGGTTGCTCCAGAGTTTCACTGAAACTTTGGAACAAACCTGCCACAACTGTTTATATGGCCATCCCATATTTCTCAGGATTGGGTGAACATCAATCACTCTTGCTATTTCCCTCATGTTGTTATAGTGGCAGTCACCAAGCACAAAATAGCTAGTGCCTGTTGCTTGTCACCTGGATTGACATTGACTGAGCAATTGAAGAAGGGAGGTGGGTAAGGATGATTCCTCTTTTCCCATCCATCCCTCTTCCATGACATTGCCTTGGTACCCATGCTGATGTCACTCCAGGTAATGAGTTGATGAATAACAGACCAGTGTTTACCACTATAACATGAACAGGAGGGGGCAGTAAAGGTGACCGTGAAGTGGTGCCGAAATTGGTTTACCACCACTGGACAATCAGGAATCATTCCCACCTTTGCAATGGCCTGAAGGCTCTTGGTAAAGGCCATTCTGGGAGTGATCTGGAGTTTGACACTTCGCATCAGCCCTGAGATGTTGTGTCCTTGTAGAAACACTCCTATCTTGCCAAAGTTGCCCATCTCTGCCCTACATGGTAAGCTGACAGATGTACCTTGGAAAGATCCATCTCATGTATGTATGTATGTATGTATGTATGTATGTATGTGTATATGTATATTTTGCTTCTTGTGTGCAGGGAGAGAAAGAGAAAAAGAGTAAAAGAGAAAGAAAGAAGACACTGATTTTGCTGATTAGTAGTGAGAGTGGGGAACTGGATACACAATTTAACATGACCTATTTACTTTTTTTGTGGGGGCATGAGTTCTAATCTAGATCCACAAAATAAGGTGAAAAGTGTGGTGAAACTTTGCCATCCCGAAGGAGGAGAAAGGTTAGGTAGAACAGCTGGCATACACATATACTAAAATCGGTGTATTTAGTATTTAACATCCAAGCTAGCCTTCTTACTGCAGACACTTTGCTCCCCCTCCCAACTGTCTTTCCATCTATATTCAAGTAGAGCTTCTTAGATATTTTCATTTTGTTTCTGCCCGTCAGGCATGACTCTTTGAGGGGAACCTCAGGGAGCCCAGATTCCTCATTCAGCTTCTTATCACATAGCTAAGAAGACCTGTTAGCTTCTGCTGCCATCTCCCTCTAGATAAACAGCTTCAAAAGAGTCCCAGAATAGCAATGAGGAAGATTAGGAACTGAAGAAGAGACAATCCACAGCTGGACATAAGCAAGCAAACAAATAAAGGTTATTGGGGGGCAGGGGGGGGGGGATTGGTTCTCTCTATTTTTCTTTTTAAAAAAAGGAATATAGAAGATTATTGCTTAGCCAAGCATTTTTAAAGGCCTGAGATTTGACTTTTACAAGAAAGAAAAGGCAAGCACATTTTCCCTTGAACACTGCAGGGGAATACAACAGTCCTAGGCACTTTATTCCACACAAGACCCATCCTTACAATCTGTGCAAAGAAAGGAAAATTAAATGGAGAGAGGAATCAGAAAGTCCTACTTGGGATGCACATGGGAGAGGTATTTGCTTTCATTTACGTAGATTTCAGTTTTGTATTTTTTTTATTGTTGTTAAGGAAATCATAGTTTCTCAGCCTTAGAGAGTGACAATGGCAAATCCCCACTAAACAAATCTTGGCAAGAATAAAACTATGGTAGGTTCACGTTAGGATTTCCCTAAATCGGAAATGACATGGAGGCACACAGCACAGCAACAACAAATGAATGAGAAACCTCATCCTATCTTCTTTTCACCAAATGCCTTTCATATATTATTTTTTTACTAATATACCTAGAAAAAAGCATCTTTAAAATTAATACATTTATTTACTCTTTTGACAGTATGGCTCAGCAACCAGCTAGTCTGATGGTCTTTTAAAGATTATTACATAGCCCAGAGAAAGAAGTTTTTCTCTATAACATGAGAAATTTTCTCTAGGGTGCCACCTTGTGCTGAAATCTCAAACTATGTGGCTGTCAAAGCAGAAAAGCTGGTGGCCATGAAGCCCATAAGGTAGTACAGCAAAAGGACCAAGCCTTTGGATTCCTGCTTTAAAACAAAACAAAAAACAGGGGATTTTTTTCATAACTGCATTAGGTAGCACTCTCCATCTTTTGGATAAAAATCGTGATCACTCCTTCAAGCTGAAGTTTTGCTCAAAGACTGGAAAAATTATTTTTAGGGGCTATTGCTCTCAGGCTCTCCAAGACTCCTGGGTAAGCTAACTAAAAGGCCAACTGTAGCCCTAATAAAGAATAATTTTCTCTTGCACGCTTATAATAGAATCACAGA